GGCCACCACCTGTGCCCGCCTTCCCTTCAGCAGGAGCCATGGCCTCCCCTCCCCCCCACGCCGTCCACGACATGGGGACCAAGAGGCACCATCCAGCCAATCTGCCACCCATCAGCGATGCACGCAGTGTCCTGTTGGAGGCTATCAGAAAAGGTGAAGTGTTTGTAAATGCATGTGCAAATAGTTCTTTAAAACCATGTTGTGACCACTTTTTCATAGTAGCAGCTTAACTGCCTCCAAATCTTGAAAAGATTGTGTAATGCCAGCTCTGCATGTGATGATAAGAGAATATATTCAGATATTTTTAAGCCTGTCTTGAAGCAAAACTTCCTCCAATCTTTGCTGCTTTTCTCGTCTTACATCATAGATAACTGTATTTTTGTAAATCTGTAAAAGAAGGCCGTGAAATAACTTTGAAGATGCCACTCTTTTGTTTACCGCCCTTTTCATTACTCTTCTAGGACCATAGGATTCATTTTTCACACTAAATGGTTAGAGAAAAGAACACCTAGCTTGGTCTCTATTAGATTAGCTTTGCATTCAGTTTCATCTACTGTATAAAACAAGCCTCTCATTCTTAGCTCTCCTACCCCTCCCTTTAAGCAAGCTTTCTTCTGATTGGCTGGCACTTGCAAACAGATTTAAAGTGGGAGCAGGTGCTGCGCACATAGTGTCACGCTGTGTCTATAAGATCCAGCTTCATTCAGATTAATCAAATCGGAGACCAGTTTTTAATATTTCACATAAATACATTTTAATAAAGCAGGATAAATACACATCTATATCCAAGTTATTGTTGCTGTAGTCGTTATAATCCTAATCGGGAGTTTCAGGAGCGATGATATGTAATCATCTTTCTCCGTTTCCCTGCTGCAGGCATACAGCTGCGAAAAGTGGAGGAGCAGCGAGAACAAGAGGCTAAGCACGAGCGAGTGGGTAATGATGTGGCCACCATCCTGTCACGCCGCATCGCCGTGGAATATTCCGACTCCGAGGACGAGTCCGAGTTTGACGAAGGAGACTGGATGGAATGACGGCGGCGAGGGAGAGAACAGAAGGAATACCGGGAGGATGGAGGTGCCCCACCCTCCAGCAGTATCGCATCCCTGCACTCCACACCTCGACATCAAAGAACCGAAACACCGTTACGACCACCTTTCCTCTCTCTTTTTTTTTTTTTGTTTTATATCTTGTCATATGTCTGTCTCGTTGTGGTTTGTGTTCAGTGGAGGGACTCCACGTCGCCGTTGTCGGTCTTTCTAGTGTTCCAAGAGTCGTTTTTCTCTCTCTCTCTCTTTTTTCGAATTCATTCTTCTGCACCTACCACGCGACTTTGTTTCGGCTGGATTTCTTGTGATGAAATCCCTCATGTTTACTATCGGTATACACGAAGATAACTTTTTTGAAGAGCCACTTGTTTTCGTTTCTTATCTGTACCTTGATGTTGGGGAAAAACAAAAACAAAGAAGAAATTTGAAAAGAACAAATGAAGGCATGTTGCATCTATCTTTAGTTCTCCAATATGGTTTTGCTGAACATGGCATTGAGTGAATGCTGCTTTATTTTAATCATCTTTTATTTACCTAGTACAACTGAAACACTTGTTTTAACAGGCCAGTAGTATCAAACCCTGACCACAGGCTGGGTTGTCGTCACCCCCCCACACACTTTTTTTTGTTATCAGGAATGACTTTACCACTAAGGACAAGCAAAAGATTGTGTTGCTGTGTCATGTGATAAATATTGTATGGCTGAAATGATGGGGGAAACCATATGGCTGCTTTGGTCACATGTGTGCATATCCATCCACTTACATTTAACCTTTACCCCAGGGAAATGTATGCCTAGATACTGAGCTGTCTGGGTTCAGAGGAGCCATTTCTGCTATTGTTGACATCAGGCGCTGTCAAAGAGAAACACTAAGCCATTGTTTATATCGAGCTCCCTTCATTTTCTCACGCTTGTTGCCGCAGAAATGGATGGTGGAAGCAACTTGATTCTGTAGATAAACATCAGAATTCCTGCCTCTCTTATTATCCCTGATTTATTAAAAAAAAAATAAAAAATACAGTGTACAGAGAGAAACTTTTTCGAGTTTTGGGAATCTGACTGACACCAGATGCAAACCAGTCAACGTCACTGATGGCAGCTTTTCTCTCAGATGCCCTTTTACTGTTTAACTGCTCACTAACGGGAAGCCTTACCTCGTTTGGGACTACAGCTCTGTGTAGTACTGCCGTTTGAGGCGTAAGACAAGAAGCTTACATTCTGCCTTGTTTTGGCTCATTTGAAAGGAAATGTCTGCCATCCTTTTCCGTTCGTTTGTTTTGTTTTTTTCTTCTACTTGCCTTATTGTTCGTACAAAACGTATCGTTGAGTTGATGAATGTATTGTGCTGTTACTACTTACTTGCCTGCGCTTGTATGAATTCGCTGTTTCTATGTTTGGCTGGGGGGGAGGGAGTTGAAAGGAGGAAAAAAAAAGATTGGATCAATACTGTATACCATGTAACTTATGTAACTGTTTACTGTAACAGTTTGCTTGAATTAATAAAAATCTAATGTTATGTTTCAGGCTTTGTTGTTGTTGTTGTTGTTGAGGTTGCTTGATCGGAGTCCTGTTCTCTGTAAAACAATAACCGAGTTAGCTTAATTTGATTACGGTTGAACACAAGCCATGATTTCTCAGTGTGCTACACAGATTAAAAATGAAATTAATAAGAGCAGCGGCCCCTAAACCTCCAAAAGTGCAGATTTATTCACAAGTAACTGGATCATGGCCAAGACCTCGAACCAGTTGCTTTTAGAGACGAGTTGCTCCTTTCATTAAGCTGGTGCAATTTTGCTTTTATAATTTTGACATGAATTAAATACTTAAATATAGTGGAAAAACCTACAAATATCTGTTCATTAAGAAAAAAGAGACAACTCAAATTTAATTTGGGAGATTGTAAGGTGTTTCCAGTATTTGGGGGGAATTGAAGGAAATATTTCCAGCTGACATGAACCAAATAAAGGCTGATTGCTAAACTTGATTGCCAGCAAGCCAGCTGAGCCAACAGATGGGTTAGAGGAGATATTTGGTGATATTTGGCTTTCCTGGCTCGCCATAATCTCCTGAGAGACCAAAGCACTCAGAACGAGGTTTTTTGGCTTTTTTGCAACCAATTTCACCAAGCAACTGCAAGCAACCACTAACCAATATATTTTCCTAGCAAACTGTGGTTGTTAGGGAGGGTCACTGACCAGTCTGTAGATCTGCATGACTGGGGCTTAAGCAACATGTTTCGCAGTGACTCCCTGCCACCTCCAACAAACACTAACCAACCGGCTGGGAAATACACATTCTTACCTATCAATCTGTTTCCAGGTAATCTATGTGTAAAGGAGAATTTCAACAGATGATCCATATCCTGAACGCTGTACAAAAACTCATCCTGTTAGAAACATAATAACGCAGATAAAGAGTGAAGGTTGAAGTAAAAGTTCAGTTACATGTGCTTTCACACTCTTACGTTCCTTCATTCCCGTTTCTCTCTCAGCTCATTTTCACATTTCCTCTCGTCTGTCACCTCCCTAAACACTCCTGTAGTTTCCTTGTTTATTATCTTCTCACTTCTGTTCAAGTCATAGTTTTGTTTTCTTCTGTCACTCTTTATCCTCTAAGCCTGCTGTTTTCAAAAGACAAAACAAAAGATAAAACAAAAAAAAACAAAACACTTTGGGCCTTTCAGTTTTCCTGTCAGGGTGGCACATGACATGCGTGCCTCAATAGCATGCCAGCTTTGGGACTGCACGGATTAGAGAATCACAACATTTCGCAGTTTGCAGCCTGCTGGTAGGAGGAAGCCTTATTAATAAGTGCGAGTGTGTGGAACTAAGGGGAGCTGATGAAAAAGAGATTTAATTACCAGATACAGTGTGTTATTCTATTCGTGCTGGGAAGATGTCCAACTGGTTCACTTCAGAGGGAATTGTGTGATTTTTCTTCCCAGCATTAAACTGGAGTCAACCGACCTGAAACTGCATTTGCAAATAATCATTAGGGTGTGTATTTTAGGATCACACTGATGCATTATGTCGCATTGGGCTCATAACTTTATAGCTCCCTACCTGCACGTGCATGGATCCCCCCGTGTTATCTACACAGAAGTGAGAGCTTAGTGGAACTACAGACCACTGTAATTTGTATATAAAGCGTGAGCCATAAACTTTAAATGATTTGTCTTTTTTTATTTATAGACTGATTACACAAGAACAGGCATGTCAGCTGTTTATTTCTAATACGGATACACTTTTCTACTTCATCAAATATTTAGAAAGATTTTTAATATGTAACCAAAAATGTGTATAAATACTGTGTAAACATAAATGCTGGGGTGGAAAACCAAAACAAAAGAGAAGGCAAAGCAGGGGTAGGTAGTGTTGAAATGAATTTACAGCAGAATGCCTTAGGATTAAAACAGCTTTTGTTTTTCCATATATAGTGCAGTTCTGTTTGCTGTTGGCATGTTTTCTATTTTAGCTTTAATCAATTTAATAAAGTGCTAATAAAGTCTTCTCACATGTACTAAGTTTGTATATCATGAACTACACATGCAGTGCAAGAATGTCATTGCACACAGCATTCCTAAGAATCAGTAGTTTCAGAAAACTTTAAGACATTAAATTCTAAGTAAATGCATATATGTATGTTTCTTAAAAGATGCCTGCATAATTATTAGTAAGGAAAACAGTACTGTGGAAAGGGTGAAATGTGATCTGCTTCCAGCACAAAGTAACCAAACTTCCAATAACTGCAAAATCAAAAATACTCTTATACTAGTTAAGGCTAGAACAGTGGTTCTTAACCTTGTTGGCGGTACCGAACCCCACCAGTTTCATATGCGCATTCACTGAACCCCTCTTTAGTGAAAAATAAAATATGATTTTTTTCAAATTCAAGACATAGATATGTTTTTTATTGGTGCACAAAATGAGCAGTGCATGTCACGGTGGAGGCTCTGCCGAACCCCTGAGACCGACTCACCGAACCCCTAGGGTTCGATCGAACCCAGGTTAAGAACCACTGGGCTAGAATATAAGGGTGAATGTTGTGCCCCTATTATAACACTCGCCCTTCTATTTGTTGTAATGACTCATAAAGGATCTATGTTAAAGATCTTCCTTTGCTTTCTTATTTAACTTTGAGGCTATTATTTTTTCTTCGGGGTGGCTCCTTCTGTACCTGCCGTGCCCGCGTGCCAAAACCAAGAGACTGCAGGGACTCTGTGATGAAGCGCTGCGTCGGGGAGACACAGAGCATCACTAGCAGCTTGGCATCACCACCTGGTGGATGAAATGAGAGGTACATAAGGTGGAAGACAGATGGGTTTTTCCTGTCATTTTTGGGCACAAATTTCAACCCTGGATTTGGTTATTGTGGAGCTGAGTTAATCTTTTCCAGAAGACCCGGACACGGGAAATAGTGAGTCACTGGACATAAAAAGAATAAATAATGTGTGTGTGACTCACCTATGGCATCCTGCAGCAGATGAGTGAGTTTGCTGTTCCTGTAAGGGATGTGTGGTCTGTGTTCAGCCAGAGCTCCAAGGACATCAGACAGAGCCGAGAGACTACGGTTTATACATGATGACTCCCAGAGAGCTGCACCTGAAACTCCAGACATACCTGGGACACATTTAGACGGCCTAAAGTTAGATAATGTGCTCTCTAACTGAGGTTATTGTAGTCAGCCCTAAAAATCTTAGAAACATGGTGTCTAACCACATACTTCTGGATGGAATTATCTTGGCCTCCAGTAACACTGTGAGCAATCACTTATAACCAGGATGTGTCCTTTACTGTGCATATTATAGCAATATGCAGGACTGCTTTCCCGCATTTGGGCAATTTCTCTAAAATTAGAAACATCCTGCCACAGAGTGATGCTGCAAAACTAGTTCATGCATTTATTACTTCTAGGATGGACTATTATAATTCATTATTATCAGGATGCCCTTAAAATGCCCTCAAAAGTCTTGAGTTGATCCAAAATAATGCAGCGAGAGTACTGACAGGGACTAGAAAGAGAATCTCTGGCTGTCTTTCACAGGATAACTTTGGTCCTGTCTCCCACCCCTCGCCAGAGCTGGTTACATCAGATGGCTGTCCTCCCCGAGCCTGGTTCTGCTGGAGGTTTCTTCCTGTTTAAAGGTAATTTTTCCTTCCCACTGTTGCCAAGTGCTTGCTCAAAGGGCATTTTTTGATTGTTGGGGTTTCCTCTCCATTACTGTAGGGCTTTACCTTACAATATAAAGCGCTCTGTGGCGACAGTTGTTGTGATTTGGCAGTATAACAAAAAGAAATTGAACTGAATTGTTTTACTTTTGTTTTCTTGAATAACATTGCGCCCAGTTACCTCACTGACCTCCTCAATCTGTACACTCCTTGTCGTGCATTAAGATCATCAAGTCAATTACTCCTGGCCCAACCTAAGTTTAGACTGAAGACCAGAGGCGATCGTGCCTTTGCTTCAGCTGCACCCAACCTTTGGAATAGCCTCCCTGCTTCTATTCGAGCCTTGGACTTTATCCAATCCTTTAAATCAAGATTGAAAGCATATCTATTTGACTTGGCTTTCATGACCAGTTAATACCCTTTTAAATCTTTTAAACTTTAAACTTTTAAATCGTTTACATTTTTTATTACATTTTATTAAATTTATTATTTTATTATTAATTTTACTGCTGTTTTTGTCTTCTTAGTGGATTTTGTATTTATCTAAATCTTCTGGTCTGTTAGTGCCTCTATCCTGTCTGTGCTAGTGCCTGATCTGTACCCTGTTATTGACTTATGTTGATTCTCCATATTACTGTGGAGCACTTTGGTGTGCCTTCGGGTTTTAAATATGCTATATAAATAAAACTGTATTGTATTGTATTGTACTTTGAAGCCCAACCTTTTGATTAATTATTTTGTAGTTCCTAGTCCAGGCTCTGACTGGAAAAAAGAAACTTCTAAACTGCATATTTAGCTCAAACAGACTAAAAAATAGTCATGGAAAACTAAGCACTAGACAGATTTGTCATGTCTCGAGTCTCCGGTTTCCCAGTAAATTATTGCACCATAAACCACTTCCCAGAATGCCAACCTTTTCAAAGAATGTCCTCCTGCACGGAGCACCTACCAGCACACTCGCTGCCAGCCAGGTCCACCAGCTGAAGCTTTGTCCTGAATGGAGTCTGAGTGATGCTGTGTCTCGGGGAGGGGCAGGGAGAAAGGGACGGGGTCGAGCAGGGAGAGGACGCGGGGCTTGCAGAGGTTTCGTCCGCTGGGTGGTGGGCGGCGAGGTTGGCACGGCGACAGCGTGGACTCCACCACTCCTTCTGGGTGGAGCGCCGCATGTCCATCTTGGCACTCTGTAGCCTGCGGGCTGATTGGAAGAGCGAAAGGGTTACGATGCAAGAACGTGTGAACGGCAGGTCACTGAAAGAGGTCCTCAATGAATTCCCAGACATGCATCTCACCCAGGGCCACTGCATTGGGACTCTTGGAGGAAACCGTGAGGGTCACAATGAGGTGAGAGCGTGATGAGTCCGCGTGGACAAGGGTGGGACAGTGAGCTCTGAGCTTCAGAACGCTGCTAATAATCTGCATCACCTCAGAGGCATTACTCACGGGCCTGAAAAACATAAAGGGAAAGTCCTTAAAATACAAAAAAAAAAGATTACATTATTAAAACTGTTTTCAGTATTTTTAGATTTCTTTATTATATTATCAGTCAAATCTGCAGTTCTTCTTTGCTCTGTGGAGTCTGCTGGTTTTATTCTTGGATTCTTGGATTCTTGGATACACATCAGAGGCATTCTTAAAAATTCATAATCAGCTTTAAAAGGCGACAACAATGCTTGTTCATTTAATTGTAAAACACTCGATATCTAGAGGAACAACAACCTTTCTACTAAATTTCACTGCCATATGTAATCAGATTAGACTTGTTTGCATTCTTTGACAGCTCCACTTTCTTAGTTTCTATATTACCTTCCTGTCCCAGTGTGCCTGTCCGCTTTGGGCAATCAGCTGTGAGGGTCCCAGGGGCTTTGTGTCAAACTAGGAGACATCTGTAGCACAGCTGAGGGCGCTTTAGAGGATGTCTTTGTCTGCATATATTGTATGCTTTTATGTTGAAATGCTTGTTCCATGTACGTGTATGGGAATATCACGTGATTTCAATCCAGCCTCAATAATGAGTAAGAAAAATTGATGGAGAGATGGATGTTGTCATAATTGGCACATGAATTCTTGAGTTATATAACAGATCCTCAACAGTAAGCTGGTCTGTGGTAAAACACATGGCAAACTTAGCTTTGCTGCAGCAAGCTGGCTGTCACCAGTGTTTAGACGTTTAATGGCTAGAGGAATACGAGACAATTTAAACCTGTTTTTTAGTAAACAAAGCGAAGCAATAGTGCCAGGGATATGGAGAGGTGGTGATTACACAGATCTGCTTTGCTGCTGGGCTGAAAATGTGTCTGTAGCATGCATATTTGAAGCATGTACACTATATACAGTGCTGTGAAAAGGTATTTCCCCACTTCCTGATTTTTGTTGTTGTTGCATATTTGTCGCACTTACACGCTTCAGATCATCAAACAAATTTTAATATTAAAAACATAACCCGGATAAATACAAAAATGGAGTTTTAAAATGATCGTTTTATTTATTATGGGGAAAGAAGCTATCCAGACCATCAAAAATGACCTCACAAACAGGGACCTCTATCTTAAGGGCTTCTGTTTAGATGAGGCACGACCTGTATGGGTGGAAATATGTGTTCGTTGGGCTGGCAAAGGCAAACTACTGTGAAGCAATAATGATTGTTAGCTGACGTTAAAATGTTCTACTACAACCACTACTCATTTTAGATTTTATTTAATTTAGCCAATAAACAGAAAATAGTGAAGGTTTAAGGATTAAGCTGTTTCATTTTTTCAACTCTGCTGCTGAAAAAAGTGAAACTTTCCAGTTTTATGAAGTTGCTAAGGGTAAAAACCTTTCAAGCAATTGAGAGCTCATCAGGAGTCAGGAGTCACCCTTTTGCTTTCCTTTAGCTTCATTTTCATCACTTTTCAATTCGGAGCTGAATTTCTGGCGTCTTATCTTTTTAAAGCTTCATAAACATGCGTTCATAGATTAGCTCGGAGTGGGCTGAGCTTCTTTTCTCTGCCCACTACATCCAGAAACGTGGCCAAGAGCAGAATTCCTGTCTGTGTGATCAAGAACTAAATAAAGTCTGAAAAACCAGAGGAGGACAGCTTGTAATTCCATGTGGGCCAAACGGTATACATGCCCTCTTTTTTATGAATGGTGATGATGATGATTGGTACACTGGTCTTAGTATTTTTATGAAAAGCCTTCTAGTATATTGCTCTTCTAGTATGTAGACCAGTCATACAAAAGCCCACATAAACTGCTGTATCTTAGCTCTGGCTCTACTCACTCAGATGTGAGGGAGGGGACCTGGCTGGCACCGGAGGAGGAGGTGATGACATCCCGTCTCTGGCCAGCTGCATTGCTGTGCTCATCCCTGGCCAGCAGGTCAAACACCTCATTGTTGTACACCTCCATCACTGACACTTCCACTGTGTGACTTTCTGCAGGCTTCTCAGAGATCAGCCTGGGCATCACATGGTAACAGAAAGGAAAGAAGCAAAACAAAGTAGATATTATGCTTTCTTGTGGATCAAACTACTAAAAAAGACTTGAGAAACACATCCAACCCTTTTTTCTCTCACCGAAAGAGCTCAGCAGCAGCCTTTGGGATAATACCCTGCTGTGCCTCCTGCTGTGTCCCTGAGAGCTCATCCAGGAACTGGGATCCCATCATGGTGTGAGTCTTCCCACTGCCTGTCTGCCCATATGCCATGATACACACATTATAGCTGAAAGGCAGGAAGCAAGGTGACATTCAATTACTGTCGAAGCCATGCAGTCATATTATGCTGCTCAGTTTGCTCCGCTCATTCACGCACCAGAGTGTTAAATGAAGACAGTTGAATTAATCCATCGGAATAACATTTGACTTGATATAGAGCTCTTTTTTTCCGCATAGTTTCATGCTCACCCATCCAGCAGAGATGTTAGAAGTGACTTGACTTCTTCAAACACAGCCTCCTGGGAATCCTCTGGTCCGTGTACCCTGAAAGAAGTGCGCATTGCCACAGTCACTAACAACTGAAAAATAATTGGAGAAATGTCGTCCATTGTATGGTGATGCCAGCATATTGTTTTACCTCTCAAACTCAAACATTTTGTTTTGCACCAGCATCCCCGCCTTCATGCAATTCACCATCACTGTATCCTAAATAAAAAGAGGGATTAAAGTAAAGGCAGGTATGCAGCAATCAATGAAAATCATTTGTAAGAGTCGGCAACACTGACATCACTGACTGCTTGGATTACTTCCTCTGATGATGCAGACCTGATGGAGAAAACACTGGGTTATCTTAAGTTCTCTCATTTTTAACAACTTTTCTTCATTTAATTGTGTATTCATGTTGCATTGCCTGTTCACTCACCCTGATCCGGAAGTTGAGGACTGGATCTGGTCAAAAGGAAGAACTGGACGCACCCTGCAGTGAACCCGAATGTTCCCTCTGAGCTCCTGAAGTGAAACAAACATCAGTGATTAAAAGATTCAGTACAGCTCTTTCTTTTTATTCCATCATCTAACACTTTTGTCTTCTTACCACCAGTGTGTTGTGAAGTTCTTTCCGCTTCCGCCTCTCTGCCCTGCAGTTCTCCCTTTCTTCCTCCAGAGAGTGCTCCAGGGCTGCAACACGAACCTGCAAATCTGCACATGGTGTGCACATTTTTCAGTCAGAACTAAGGTTCAGTGTATCACACAAATATTCAACATCATGCTGTCCTCTTTTTAGCAACATATCCAGTCATGGTAAAAAGAAAGTGCACCCTGTGTTAATTCTAAACTTCTACATATCAGGTAAACAACACAACCTCAGATGAACGCCAACATTTACACCAACTAACATACTAACTGATGCCTGTAGAGTTTGAGTTGTAGCTCTTGGGTTTTTTGCAGTTTCTCTGATCATTGCACAGCTTGACTTTGGGCTGAATTTGCTGGGATGATGCCACCTAAATGCTTCAGACCAGTAAATCATGTTATTTTTTTTAATTATATTTTGATACGTAAAACCTTAGAATTTGAAAAGGATGCCATTTGATTTTTATCATGACTGTAAAAATGAACTGTGAAAGGCCACAACTTTGTCTCTGTGTTTAAACCTTATTTGAAACTATAAGAAAATACTTTTATTTTATTGGGGAAGCTTTGAGAAAATGGACTGGACTTTAATATAAAGGATATCGTCTCAGAAAGCTGACACTAATATACAGTAAAAGACATGGATATTAAGGTATTCATATATCAAAGTGCACCTAGTTTTAATCAACTTACAGCATCGTATTTTTTGGCAGGTTTACCTGAACATTATCTAATATCCTTCTGTCTTTGTGATCAGCTGGTGACATCTGCAGCAGAACCTTTTAACATCTTAAACTTCTGAATACTGTTATTGTCAGCCTAAAAATAATTTTATGTGAAATTTTAGTCAATCAAATGAAATCCTAAAGTCAGAGTCCACATGCTTTAAGATGTGCCTCCTCTAACTGCTGCTTCACTGTTTCGGGATGCATTGCAGTTTTCACATTTTAAACAAAAAAGGTTTCAAAACACCAAAAGTATCACCGTCACTGCCTACAGATGCTACTTTAATATTAACCTGAGGTTCCATTCAGATACTTACTCTGAAATCCATCCTCACTGTGACCGTTCAGAGATGAGTTGGCTTGCTCTACTTTCTCCAGGAGCTGCTTGCTCTGCTCCTCCAACTCGGTGGCAAAACTCACATACACTGCAAACAACTCACTCAGGTCATGCTTCACAGCCTGCCACAAACACACAGAGTGGACAAATGAAGGGAGTGTTTACACAAAGCCTTCCTAACTATACATATTCTCCTAAGAACCGAGGAAAAAAGGACCTTCCCCTTCAACTTTTTTGTGATTTCCTGCCTCTTTGGAGCTAAAAGAGGCCACCCAAACACATGAAATATCAATGGAAAGCCCAGGATGTCCTCTATTTAGTACATCAGGACTTAGTATGGTAGCTCAAATAAGTAAAAAGATATAGACAAAAAACAAATTACACAGGATATAAATGAATAGGCTGGTTCTCAGGAGGATATACATATAGCTTTTACTTTAGCCTTTACTTGACCCAACTGACTTACCGGTAGCTAATTATACACCAATCTCCAGCACTGAAATGTAAACATTTCTTGAAAGCCTAGTTTCAAACAGCTAACTTATAGTTTGCAGAGGGATAGTTTCTTTGAGGAGTTAGAGTACATTGTAGCACAGAAATAGCCTTTGACAGTGGACTCATGTCTATGTTTGTCCTGTTAGAGATCAGGGCAGCGTTCGATAACAATAATTTAATACAGAGATTAGAACAAACTATTGGCATTAAAGGAACTGGGCTGCTGGGGTTTGAATCATATCTGTCTGATAGACTCCAATTTGTTCATGTAAATGTGGAATTTTCTTCACATGCAGAAGTTAGTCATGGAGTTCCACAGGGCGCTCTGCTGGGACCAGTACTATATACATTATACATGCTTCTCTTCTACAATAATATTAGAAAACACTGCATATATTTCCATTGCTATGAAGATGATACTCAGTTATATCTAAACCCGACCTAAACAGATCAGTTAAACCAAAACACTGCAGCTAGACTAATGACAGGGACAAGAAAAGGAGACCAGATTTTTCCTATTCTGGGTTCTCCTCATTGGTTCCTTTACAAATCCAGAACTGAATTTAAAATCCATGATCATCATGACTGACATAATCTTGAACAATCAGGCCCCACCAAGTTATCCTATTGTTGAATTTCTAAAAGTAGAACGGGAGGCAGAGCCTTCATCGTCACGTTCCTCCTCTGTGGAAACAGCTTCCAATTTAGATTCAGAAGACAGACACTGTCTAATTTTAAGATTTAAGGTAAATTTTATAGTTAAGGTTGCATCAGGTGACTCTAAAGCCTCCTTTAGTTATGCTGCTATAAGCTCAGACTGGTGCTGACTGCACCACTGTCTTTTCAGTCAACACATGTTAATACAACACTGCAGCATGCCTTTGTCTTCTTCCTCTCTTAGTCTGTGTTTTGTCTCTTTATGCTCTCTTATTTATTTTCTCTTCTCTCCCCTCTCACTCCCAACCTGTCGTGGCTTCCCACTTCCCACTATCCTAAAGTGTTTGCTCACAGGGAGTTGCCTGATTGTTGGGTTTTTTTTTTCTAATTTGCTACTATATAAATAAACAATTGAACTGAATTGAAGTAAAGTGAACTGAACCCAAGTTACTATCTACCACATATACACACATCTCAATATATTTTTACCTGAACCCCTGAGAGAAGCTTGATGAGGGCTGATTGGGTTATCTTCCGTGCACTACTCTGAAGCTGATGATCGTTCACAGCCTTGGTTCCCTCATCATGGTCCCGGCGCTGTCTACCCGAACACTGAAAATCAAAGGTGCAAAAGTGAGTCATCAAAATTTCTCTTTTATATGAAGTTAAAACGTAGTTCAACATCAACAATTCAATTCAATTCAACCGGTCGCAGCAGATGGCTGCCCCTCCCTGAGCCTGGTTCTGCCGGAGGTTTCTTCCTATTAAAAGGGAGTTTTTCCTTCCCACTGTCGCCAAAGTGCTTGCTCATAGGAAGTCATATGATTGTTGGGTTTTTCTCTGTATCTATGAAGCGCCTTGAGGCGACTTTTGTTGTGATTTGGCGCTATATAAATAAAATTGAATTGAATTGAATTGAAAAACTTACCACATCACTTTTAAGGTCTGCGATCAATGAATGGAAATACAGAGGGTTAACAACAAGCTGCACACCACTGGTTACACTAGAACAACAAGGCCAGATTAGGCTTTGCCAGAAAACATCAAAATGAGTCTGCGCAGTTTTGAAAAACTTCTTTGGACGGATGAAACCAAGATTACATAAAAGTATGGAGAAGGAGAAAATCAGCTCAAGATCTCAAGGACGCTGCGTGATCTGTCACACACGTTGGCAGTTGTGTGATGACATTGGGCTGCTAATGTGACTGCCGATAGAAGCAGCAGGATGAAGTGTACAGACCTATACTCTCTGCTCACATTCAGACAAATGCTGCAAAACTGATCGAACAGCACTCATTATCCAGCAAATGGATAATGATCCAAAGGAAAAGCAATCCAAGATTTCCTTAAGGCAAAGAAATATGATATGCTTTAGTGGCCAAGTCATTCACCTGATGTCAACCTGAGAGAATGTGGTTTTTATTTATTGAAGAAAAAACTGAAGTAAAATAGAAGCAAAACATCATCATCCATGTAACAAAAAGAATCCTTATATTTAAAATTATGTTCGGTTGTCCAATTCATAGCCTCTGAAGGTGGTGGATTGTGTATAAAAATAGCTGTAAGTCCTAAAAAGTTACTGCCAAATTCTTGTAAAAACACGTAATTTAAGCTGAAAGTTTGCACTTCAATCACTTCTTGATTGTTTGCCTTTGTACTGTGGTGTACAAAATAAAATGTGCCTTTGCCCAATAAATTATGGATCTAAGTCTTAGAGAGTGGAAGGGAAACAAACAAATGAGGATGAAGTGATCTGTAAAGTACAGTGAAGGGGGTAACAGTCATTTGCACATAATTCTGGTGCATTTGAGCTACATGCCTAACTAATGAAACAGCTTGATAGAAATTATGATCCATTTTGTCCCAATGTGCCATTTAGATACACATTCAGTTAACCATCCATTTAAAGCACTCAAATAGAGACCGATTCAAATGTTCCCGCACATAGCGTGAGTACTAAGGTGTAATAAACCTCATGCATTTAAAGTAAGTGCACAAGCACACTCCAACGCCTATTGGCACTAAAAATAATTTAGAAAAGAAAGAAAGAAAGAAGTTATGCACACAAAAGCTGTGCCTGAGGTCCATAAAAAACCATGATAAATAAGGTGCAGACAGGAAAATACTAGAATAAAATGATCAAAATCTACTTTTTGGCTAAAGATAAGCCTATATGTGTGTTAGATGTCAAAAGTATTCTCACCTCTGCAAGTCTTAAATGAAGAAGGGCATTCTCGGTCTCCAGTTCAAGTATTCTCTCCTCTTTACTCTGAAATACGAAGAAATGTGTCCTGAAGGATTTGGGATGCAGTTTGCACAACTCATGTTCAGTAACTTGTAAAAAAAAAATCTAATAAACCAATAATAAACCAATAATAATCTAATAAACCATTCCCTAATGTCTAACAATGACTCACCCTTAATTTGTGCTCCAGCAGGTGTACCTGATGAGCAAATATTTGGTCTCGGTTTATAAAGAGAGGCATTTTGTAGAAGGAAGGAAGCAAGTATAGAGCAGCTTGCCTGGCCTCGTCCCTTTTCTTTCTCAGCTGATCATGTGTTGTCCTCTCAGGTCACATAATCAGATTAGCAACGCTCAGCAGCAACTCTCTCAGTTCTGTTTTACCTGTCTGTGTTTGGCAGGTGCAGACTACAGTATGTTGCCTTCATACTGGCATGAGAACAATAACCGTTTAATTGTGATTTGAGCATGACAGCATTTTTTTTAATGACTTGGCTTTCTTCACTTTCAGGTGTTGGGAGTTATTTGTGTTTATGCGGCCAAGTGTTTGTCACTTTCCACCGACAGAGGGCAGCAAAGTGCGCGAAGAGCGGTTCGTCAAAAGGAAGACGTAAACATTACGAAGAAGAAAAATAGTTCCGCATAGTCACAGGTTTTTCTTTCCCCTGTCAGGCAGGAGACTCACTGCACTGTGGTTCTCCGGTTTGGTCACAACATGGCAAGGCTAAAAGAGAAAAGGCGAGAGAAAATCAGCGTCGCCTCCGAGGTACAGTGTTTTAGCGTTTGTCTCACATTTCCCATCTATCTCTCTGTTTAGCTGACGTCTGATAGGTGCTGTAGCTTTCCCCGTGTACATTCTTAAAATTCATTCGTTTAGGTCGCTCCCTGCCTCTGTGTTTTGAACGTTGACCTCTCCGTGTGTCACACCTGTAAAATCCTACAGATTGATCGTCTGGAGGAGCAGCGGGTGCGTTGCCAGGACAACTTAGAGAGGGCGGAGTTCAAGAGCAGGAAGGAGAAGCTCTCTGAAAAGCAGAGGTGAGGCTGAAGGAGATGATGAAGACTCCACGTTAGTGTGTATACCTCCCACTGGCATTTCAAGGCAACTTTGGCCTTGGGACTGGGACTGTTGTGGAGGAAACTCCCTGCAAGACTGTCCTTGTTAAAATATATACTTGTTATTTATTCCTGCTTAAAGCACGTTATTATTTATTATACCTGTTTTCAGTGATATCAACTTTTGGTGCCCCTCGTGGAGGGCTACACCAATAAGCTGAACTCAGTTGGTGCAGCCCTCCACAACAGTCCCAGTTTCTCATGCGGCTCTTTGGGAAAATGAATTGCCCATCCATCACATTTGAGGAATTCAGGAAGCGTGTCTGTCAAAATCAGCCAAGCTTCCTGCTTTTGAAACCCCTTGTGAATAAGGAAATAACCAAAAGTAGCTATTAATACAAAAAACAATATTTTAATGAGTTGAACACTAATCTGAAGTCTAAATAAAGTGTATGAGTTGAGAATATAGATTTTAAAAAGGGATTGAAATAAACGATGAACATAAGGGAACAAATGAATGTGTTGTTCTGTTGCATGAGGTGTGAAGGATTTGTGTTGGATTTGCTCTTGCATGTCTTTGGCTTTCCTGTTTGTGGCTGTTTTGTGGTAGTTGCAGGTCTGCGTGGCTCTTTAGTGAGCAAGAACTCATGAAAAGGCATCTTGTGCCACTTAGAGATTAAAAAAAAAGAAAGAAAGAATGTAAAAACTTCACCCAACAGTGATGTTTCTCCTTAATATTGCCTTTTTTTTCTTTCTTTTAAAAAAAAAAATCAGACAAGATCTGGAGGATGAAATGACCATCATGAATGAGAGGGTGCAGAAGCTAGGTGAGCCTTAATATTAAAATTCTTGTTCATGTGTATTCACTGTGTGTTCTTACTTTTCCTGTGTATTTGTAATATTTATTGAGCGCTCGAGGACCACATAGTCCCGTTTTCACTAAGGGTTAATTGACAAACTGATTAGCAAACTAATCAACATGTCATATTTAGTCATCCTGAAAGGTGCATTTTAAAAAGAAAGCAGGTGAAAGTAAAATTTTATTGATGACACATTTAAGGAAACTGAAGAATGTCGTGCTTTTTGAGTGTAGTATACAAAATATTTGTCTTCTGTCTTCTTTTGACTGAGCCAGCTTTCCCATATAAAAAAACAAAAATAGTTTCAGTATGTTGTAAACTGGCCCCAGGCTGCGACAGCAGATCATTTGCTGGTTTTGCTCGTGCCAGAGGACTAAAAATAAATAGAAAGTGATGGCTGCTGCATATTTTATACAGTTTTTCTTTTGCTTTTCCAGACAAGGAGCTGGAGATGTTACGAGGTGAAAACCGGAGGAACATGTTGCTGTCAGTCGCTCTGCTGGCTATCAGTGCTTTCTTCTACTACGGGTTTTTCTACAACACAGACAAGTCATAAAACCACACTAAAAATGGGACCCATGATTCTGCAAAGAGCATCAAACTCAAAGCCATCTTGGTACAGGGACACGGTTGTGAACACATGAAAAGGCCCAGCAGACAAAGAAAATGAATTCTGGTTATGCCTTTATATATTTGACCTCTGTACACTTGTAACACTATTCTTCATCTGAATGTTTACCTTATGCTGCCTTCCATTTGCCTCAGATGTCCGAGCTGGGAGTGACATCAACCCTGAGTTAGTAAGGTAACAAAAGTAAGGAAATGTGAGATTTGTTTTGCCTTTTAGCACTTAAAAAAACATTGCTCTGCATGTGACTTTTTTAGCAAGTCGCAGAAACATAATAGTAATAGTACAAATTACAAGTGTTGCAGTTTTGGTTGCGGATGCTTCGACTTTCTAAGTCTGACAGGAAACATCAAATGAAAGCAGCATCGTGCTCCTAACAAACCACCATGTACTTGCTGTATTTTGCGCAACATGTCAAATAGATACTTTATCAAGCAGTGCCGGACAAGTCTGCTTTTCAGACTTTTCAGTAAGTGTTTGTATGCATGGTACACAGTATTTGTGCAGTTAAATGCATGAAAATATTTGATATTTGTGCCCTTTGTATTGTCATTAAGTCAAAGGCCGAGCCTGGAGATTTTTTTCTTTCCTTTTATCGATACTCATGCTGGTCGTACACCTACCTCCTAATAACTGCGCTTCCAGAAATGGCCAACATGCTCACAAATGTCCTTTGAAATATGACTGTACACAGTTATGCTCTGAAATTTGGATTTTTTAAATAATTGATCTGTTTAAATGCTTTTTTTTTTTTTTTTGCCATTTGTGCGTATGTCTTTTAAATCCATATAATAAATGCTTTGTGCCAAATTCAATGCATATTGTTTACTGTTTATGTACTATTTGTAATGTGCTAGGGTTTTTTTTTTAGTGACACCTTTATTTATTTTTTTATTTATTTAGATAACTTATCCATTCATTCTTCCTGAAAGTAGCAGACTAGGATTTATCATGTTCTGAGAGAACATGTAGGAGATTTTTTTTTTATAATTTCACAGGTACAGAAGGCGTGATCTCTTCAGGAAACATATTGTTAGTGTCAGAGGTGACATTTTTCACCCAGTCACACAGCCATTGCAGGATTTTTGTGGCAGGGTGGGGAAGTCTGATTTAAAAAGTCTTAAGGCCTTCCTATAGTTCTGAGAATGTAATGATTAAAGCAGCATTCCTGTGTCTTATTTGTATCGACATCTGTTTAGCCTGTCCTTTTTCATCAGCAACATTCACATGAGGGACTAAAACCACCAAAATATGATCTGCATTTTGTTTTTGTTCTTTTATTGTTATCGTGAGAAGCATTACAACAGTCAGCAAGTCAGAAGTTTTTAAATCGTACTCTTTTAATATTGTACACTTTACTTATATGTGATCTGACCTTATAGATGAGCTGGACAGCTGTAAAAAGCAATATCAGTGTACGGTTATGACAGCACTGTAATCCATCGCAGTGTGAGATTTTTTAATTGCATTTATTTATAGGTTGTTTAAGATCTTCAAACTAGTTTTAATATTAGACCAAAAAAACATGATAAATATAAAAGGTACATTTTTAAATGATGATATCATGTCACAATCTAAAGTCATTGATATCTATCAGTCTGGAAAGGGTTGCAAAGAGAAACAGACTGGGCAAAAATGGCATCCACGGGAGAGTTCCAAGGAGAAAAGCTCTGCTAACCAAAAAGAACAAAAAGACTCGTCTCACATTTACCAAAAACACACTTACTGTTTGTAAGAACGTCTTACAAACAGTAAGACATGGTGGTGGTAGTGTGATGGTTTTCGCTGCTTCAGGATCTGGACGTGAATTCATGAAACTATGATCTCTACCAGAAAATCCTGAAGAAGAAAGTTCAGCCGTAAGTTCATGCTCTGAAGTTCAAGAGGGCTTGCAGCAGGACAGTCATCCAAAACAACTCCACAAACGAACAAACCAAATAGAATAAATATAAATAAAAATTAGTGCCCCAGTGAAAGATGCTTTGGAATGATCTTAAACAGGCTGAATGAATTACAATTCTTCAAAGAAGACTGGGCCAATGTAGAAGACTCATTACCAGTCACCACAAAGGTTTGATTGCAGCTCTTGCAGCCAAGGGTGGCACAACTAGTTATTAGTTAACTAGTTGTTAACTGCTTTTTCACACAAAAAAAGAAAAATATATATTTTGGTGACGTTAGCCTAATATTAAACTTTGATTATCTGAAACTTGTGCCTTATTACCACGTTTAGACAACTTAAAAAAGGACAGCAAGTCCTTTAAATAGATCTTCAGATGTTCCACAAGGAGCGGGTGGGTTATTTCTTGATATGGTGTTAACAGACAACAACAACAAAGAGAAAGAGAGAGAGAAATTAAAGGTCATTAAGGAAGCCAACTATCAACCTCTGCTAGTTCTATAACCTGACTTTCACCATTGCGTGATCAGTAATCACCCTTTTTGTGGACTTACTCTTAAAGCTCATTTCTTCATGTCCAATATTTATGGAAATCAGACAGGAAATAAAATTCTTTGTGTCTAGGTTGTTGGGTTAGGCACACTTTACCTTGCACTTTTCCCAAACTGTAAAACAAAAGCATTTCATCTTGCTTTCATGTTAAATGTGAAGCAGTGGACAGCTACCAATCCAGCACTCAGGGAGCAGTGTGTAGAGACGGTGTGTGTGTTTTATTTCAACAGATGTTTTATGATTATAATACATTTCTATACGACTTTTCCTCCTTTCCTGAACCTTGCATAATTTTTGTACAAACAGTGAGGCTATTTCGAGCCACAGATGACAACAAATTTTAAATGCTCAAGTAAGTATTTTTGGAAAAGCGGGGGGATGTGTTGCCCAATCAGGAAGTGGACTGAACGATGTTTGTTTTTTGTTTTGGTTTTTTTCCACGCAGAAAAACTTAAGATGCATTTTTTTGCTTGCCCTATTTGCTACTTGGCATTGGTTACAGTAAAAAACAAACAAACAAAAAACAACTATATAACATAACCACACCTTACCAAACAAATGTGTGTGTGTGCCCTACCTCCCACGCTGTCTATTATCACCGACTCAGTCCTCGTCAGACCTACGCACACTCATTCTCTCAGCCCCAGATAAAATAAATGTAAACAAGCCTATTATGCAACACGACTGTGGGGTTTAATTGGTGACTGCAGTCTCTGAATATTCATTTTCACCTTGTATTTGATTTTATTGCTCATTTAAAATAATTGGTTTTATAAAATAAAAACTTCTTGAATTAGAAATAAATCAATAACAAATACTCCCATGCAAAAAAAAACCCAAAAAACTTTTTAGCTTTACTTTTGGTCAGCTGTTACCATGTGCTTCCTGCACATTCAGCCTTTGCTTGCTCCTCCTGCAGTCAGCGAGTGACCTTGTGTTCACTTTCATATTTCATGCCACACCGTGTTAAGTCTCCTGAAGTCATGAAAGTACATGACTTAAAAACAATGAAATAACTGAAAAAAAGAGGTCTGTTTGAGCATGAAAATGCCAGATGTCACTTTGAATTCTTTTGTTTCTAACACAGAACGATGTTTGAGCTGCAGTGAAGGCCCAGCATCTCCACCCGGGTCAGATGTCATTACATAAGTTTTTTTGGACGCTGTCCCTTTTGGTCAGCTCACCTAAAGTCTGTTTACATTTTACTCGACAGACTCACATCCACACCTACATTTAAACATGTTAGCTAGTTTTCTTTATTATAGTATTAAAATATAAAAGTACTCACTTTGCAAAAATGTTCATTGTTTATTTTATATTGGCCACATTGCAGACAGTCAGCCCCTTATTTCACCTGCTTTTTGAAACAGGCATCTATAGTTCCTCTTACAAGCAGAAGGTTTGAACAGCAGGTTGAAGGAGCTGCTGCTTGGTGCCTGAGATGACCATGTTACTATGTTAAGGATATCTGCTCTCACTGATAGCAGCCGACAACATTAAAAACAGCCCGAAGCCAAGAATTCTCGGCACACAAGGATTACTTGCACATACACTCCTCGTTATTTGAAACATTAGCCATGTTTAATACAGGCGTCCACTATATTAACAGTAAGTATATGAGAGAAGATAAGAGAAAAAGCCTAATATTTCACCCTTCAACACGAGAGCTTATCAAAGCAAAGCCTAATGCAGAGATGGTAGAGTTGTTAAATCTATACCAAAGCATCACGTTTTATTAGACAATGATGTTTTACATGCAAATTATTTCCAAAGCTCAAATGCACATCTGTGCCCAATTCAACTTCAAGTGGGCTGGGCAAAAACAAACACCCCCGTTTATTTATTTATTTATTTCAGTGTAAAAATGTAAAAGTATTCAAAAAACTGATTATTAAATAGATTATGAACAACCTGAGATATCTTAATTAAAAAATAAAGGTGATTTGAACAATTTGAAGCAGTGCGTCTAGATTCAGTCACTCTTCTGTCCAAAAATTGAGGCCTTCTTCTCACTCTGCTCCTCCTGCAGTTTTTCTCACTTTACAACACATCTACTTGGAGACTCAGCAGGGAGCCAGTTCTTGCACTCCTGACTTAATTAATGTTACAAATGCCATTTTTTTTACACTTTCTTCTGAGATTTGATGACATTACAAATCAAACTGCATTGAATTACTGGATGGATTGATATATTAAACAAGTCCTGAATGATGCATAAAAGCATCCAAAGCATATTTCTTGTAAATTGCCATCCTTAAAAGCAGCTAATCATTACGGGTTGAGTCATCATGTCTGGAAAAGACTATGTCTTATTCCTGAAATCTACATCTGCATGGCTAAATAAATCCCCTCCATACTTATTTTCTCTGTTAGTCATCATTGCTGTGCTCATAGTGGTGACATATCACCTAATTAGTAATTAGTTCATGCTGAAAAAGAAGATGAGACCTGAGGCAGGTAAATATTAAAGTCAGGACGATGACGGGCGTAATCGTGTCGTGCTGGGGAGGTAGCGTGTGTCACAACAGTGTCTTTGAAGCGTTAAGCTGTAAGGCTGTGATGGTTACTCTGGGGTAGGAGGGTTCACTCGGTGTGAGGAAGAGGACATGAGCATCATACACGGTGAGTTGATGGGAGGTAATGGGTCAGGATGAAAGGTGTGAGTAAATGAGAGCTGGATCCAAAGACAGAAGTGCCTGCAGTGTCACCACATCCAAAAACCACACAATCATCCGTAGAAGTGTGAGCTACCTCATTATTTGGCTTTATATCTTGAGGACAAGTTGACCTGCAGCGCATTAAAGACTTTCCCCCGCATTATACTTCCTCACCTTGCTTGAACCACTGTAATGAACTGTAAAATTACCTATTTATACCATACATATCCAGTTCAGAACATAGCTGAGCCCCTGGCATGTTTACATAATTGATCAAAATCACTGAGATAATGTTTCGGTCAATTTGATCTGGCTGCGGAAATGAAGCTTTAGTGGGAATTGAGTTATAGCCATAAGGTGTTTGATTTTTTATTAGTTGCTTCATGCACACAAACACACTCCCCTCCTTCTGTTTTTCCTCCTCAACAGTAAATTACAAACATATACAGCGCCTCAGCTTACACGATGATCTCCTCCAAGAAACTGGCACTGACCATGTGGAATTATTAACACTGCCATGTCTGTATTGTACAGTAGATCTTATACCACACGCGATCCAATCTGAATACTTCATCTTTTCTTTCGACTGCTTCCTTTAGACATCACCATAAAGTATCCATAGCATGCCCC